ACTATTCTGTTTATAACAATTTGGAGTAGACTATTCTGTTTATAAAAGTTTGCGTAGAAAATGTATTGGCAATGATTACGTTCTTTTTTACACCACCAATGAAATTATAAAAAAAAGTCTGATAAATGCAATATTGGAAACTCCAGCTGCATAACAGTTGAAATGGAATAGTTATCAATTAGAAAGAGCCATTAGCAGTCTTAGTGTAATCCAGTTGTATAAGAACAGCTTTTCATATTACATTTGAATGGAATTTGAATATATTGTACAAGCAGTTTTATAGAGCAATAACAAATATGAACTAGAAATTGTTGGCTAACAATTTGACGGGTTTTTCACCATTAGGACTGATTTGGGTTTGATCGTGGTCTTTTGCTTCTAACAATTAATAGATATTTCTAAAAAAAAATCTTTAGAGCACAGCTGCGACTTTGAGTAAGAAAGTGTGCAGTGTTTGTAGTCAATGAAAAAGTCTATACCGGGTGGGTTTGCCATGCAAAATAACGGCTGATGATACCCACTGCAGTAGGGGTGTAAACTATCCATATTTTTAAGATTGAGAGTGCATAGTAATTGATGTAGTATTACCAGCGTGTATAGACTTGCTCAAGTTAGGAACGTTTTTCGGCGGTAAGATTTTGAGATCAAAGGAGATACTCAAAATAGCGTAGGGCGTTAACGTTAGACAGCTGAATCATTGGGGTGGAATTTCACATCGACTGCAAAAAGATTTTTTTAAATAGTTTAAAAATGAAAAAGTTGAAAAATTGATGAACTTTGATCCAATAGGGAGGATTTTAGTTTGACATTTTTTCTGATAACATTTTATGAGAAAAAGTTAGCCCGAAGTAATATCTGCAAATGATATCAGGTATAAATGCTGTATAATAAACGGTTTTCAGTTATGGCGGTTTTAAGATTTTGACATATGATGTCATGGCAGCCATATTTGATTTTTGTAGTACTTGAAAATGTTGCAATTACATCTGTACATCATGGCCTACAATATACCTGAAAGACTTTGAACATGTCTGCTACTAATCAAAAGATTTGGAAGCCAAAATCTCACGAATCTGTAGTGAAAAGCCCTCATAATATGAACAACACTTTCGACCCCTATGACCTACAACCCATCTTTCCACTATGATTCTGCAACAAAAATATTCCTCTTTGCTTCTTGGTAATATAGAAAAAGATTGTTTAATATAATATGCTTTTTTTGTGTCTTAATACAAATCAAAGTACTGAAAGTACTGAGAAAACTTCAAAACTGCACAAAAATGAAAACGGTTTTAGACTTTCACTTTTGAAATTATATTTTGAGTAGGTCAAGGTCATTCATTTGCACACACTTTAAAGCCCTTCATTCAAGCATGCTTCTTGCCAAACATCGTTACCCTGGAATTATTGGTTATTCAGAAAAAGTGGTTTCAATAGTTTTACATATATGACCTCTGTGACCTTGAAAGTCATTCAAGGTCAATCATTTTTACATACTTGATAGCCAATTACCTGACCATGTTATGTATCAAATAGTAGGACTCTAGACCTTGTAGAACTTTAGAAGAAGTTTTTTGAAGTGATTATCTTGAAATAGCACATATGAAATTTGACCCCTAAATAACTCAAAACTTGTCCTGGTCAACTCAAAATGTTTCCTGCCAAAAATATGCGCATTTGTGTTGTCCACATCATACCTGAATATAAAGTGTATCTATCAAACGATTTTCGAAATACCGGTATTCTTGATTCAAGAAATTTGTATTTTTTAAACATTTGACCTTTGTGACCTTGATAGTTGGTCAACCATTTTTTGTTACCCAATGTAGTGCATTTGAACTTTGACCCCTACCGAAAACCGGAAGTTGACATTTAACTCAAAAATGTTTCTGGAGAAAAAATAGTTATTTGTTATTTTGCACAACATATCCAAAGATGAATTAAATACATTCACCAGTTAATGAGGTATTGCAATTTTAAAAAAAATCGGATATGACGTCATGGAGGCCATTTTGTTTTTTCGATGAAGTTGAAAATGTTCAACTAAATGTTTGGAGTGTGTTTCTAAGTTGAGATTGAATGACAAATTAAATATGTTTAAATCAAAATGAAAATGTTAACACATTCCATAACAACTTAACGAAATATTTGTCAAAATGATGCAAAATATACATTTAAAAATAGTTGTTCTGAAACACATTTAAAGTGTAAGTTGTGCTTTTCTTCGTTTTTGTAGGGGTGTATCCAAATGTGTGTCTTTGTACAGGAACAAATCATCTTTTGTGGAGTACAGCATTGCAGCATGTGAGTGTCAAACCCAGATTTTAGTATCATTGCTACAAAGTATCAGAAGCGAGACTAAGGTGTTGCTCTTCCAGCGACGGCATCAACATTAAGTTTTGAAGTTTTAGTTAGTTTCACTGAAAGTGTAAGTGCTACACCAACCAAACTTGGACCATAGATAGATGCATCTTAGGTAGTACATCTCAACCTATGCATCAAATGCTGAATGCGACCTACCTTTCTTGGTCTATTGACTGTCATCATCTCCATCCACATCAAGTTTTTGTGTTTAAGTTTGTTTCTCTGAAACTATAAGTGCTAGACATGTGCATTGATGGTCAAAGCGGGGCACAGACGAGACATATCAATCAGAATGGCTTGTTATGAAAGTATTTAAATATTTCTCGTCTCCTTGGTATTGAAGTAAATGTATGATAGTTCCTGGTGATATCTGCCAATTACATGATGTTTATTCCCATACATGTACATCCCCTCACATTGTTCAACCATATATCATATGCCCAGTCTAGTGTTTTAAAATCATAGACCAAGAAGAGTCACATGAAAGTTTTCCCATTCTCAATGTCACATAAGCATCACCCTGTAAAAGTATTGTGGGAGCATCCTTATTATCTCATGCATATCACCCAGTGAAAGCTCTTACATAAACTGTCAATTCAATCATCCTCTGAAGTTTCATAATGAACTATTCCAACATTTGACCTCATTCACCCCTGAAGTTTCATAATGAATAATTCCAACATTTGACCTCATTCACCCCTGAAGTTTCATAATGAACTATTCCAACGTTTGAATTGGAAGAGTTTGAATGTTTCTTCAGGAGTGAATGAGTTAACAGCAGTGTCAGAAGACATGTTGTGAAAGGATAGAAACATCATCCATTTTCCTCAGAAAATGTATTTGTAACTTATCCTTCAGTCCATCCACTATCACTGATTTTTCCTCTTCTGATAGCTGTAACTGGAGCCTTGTTCCGGGTGCACCTCGGACCTAAGGGAGTCGTGGCTGGAGGTATAGTTGGTCTTACGCTGGGGTAGGTATAAAACAGTTGTATACAAGTCTGATATGTCAAAAGGTACCGGTACATGAACATTATCTATCCATTCTAAGACAGATCTTTTGGAGCCATAATGCTACTTGACCTCTTTTTAGCTCACCTATTCGAAGAATAGGGGGCTTATGTAGTCACTCCGGTGTCAGTTTTGGCATTTGTTAAGGTTAAAAGGCAAGTGTTGAAAGTCACTAATATTAATCATCTATATTTATGTAACATTGTGTTGGTACAGGGCAATAGGGGGACGGGGGCTGCTACTGATGGCGACTCCTGTACAGTAAACTGGTCTATTTACCCTCTTTTTGGTAGGTGGGCTGTCACTGATGGGGGCTCTTGTACAGTAAACTGATCTATTTACCCTCTTTTTGGTAGGTGGTCTGTCGCTGATGGGGGCTCTTGTACAGTAAACTGATCTATTTTCCCTCTTTTTGGTAGGTGGGCTGTCACTGATGGGGCCTCTTGTACAGTAAAATGATCTTTATGCCCATTGTGTTGGTAAACTGATCTATTTACCCATTGTGTTGGTACAGGACAATAGCTGGGCTGCCACTGTTCGGACTTGCCAAAGCTACAGGTGAAACCGAGGAAAACAGGCATTTCAAATACATTGAAGAGAAACTTGCCATTAAAAAGTAAGTATCACGGTAGCCAGTACAAGTCACACAGATTGTTACAAATGGTAGAACGGGTCAGAAACATCACATGGTATCCAGGGCATATCAAATGGATTAAAGATAACATGGTAGACAAGTCAGACAGATTGTCAGTCACTTGGTAGGGGAGAAAGTAAACAAGCAAAAGGGATTGTCACATGATATGGTAAAAAAACAAGTAACATTTTAACATGAAAGAAAAAAAAATGAGTCAGATGTTAGTCACATGGTAGCAATTTGAAAACAGACAGGAAGGAAAAAATTGAAGGAGAATATAAATCACTTCATAGTAAAAAAAATTGCAGGAGATTTTAAGTCACTTGGAAAATTGAAATAGAAGAAAATAGTAAAGTGTATTCTATAGTGGTACATTCTGGTAAAAAAGACAGGTGAAGGAGATAGTAGAGTGTACACTTAAGTGGTGCAT